TCATTGCTCTAAATTGTTACTGCATATGAGAATGACTTTAAGCATATGACAATTTTCTCATGTAATTTAATTTCATTTTTTAATTAGAGAAAAGCGGTTACAGGAATGGAAATATCTTACAAAAAAACAAAAATTTGGGGAATTAAGAGAAATTTCTGGAAATCAGTATGTGAATGAAGTCACAAATGCAGAAAAAGATGTGTGGGTTATAATTCATCTATACAGATCAAGGTAATTACCTTAGCATTTCAAAATGTAAATATATTAATGTTTTAATATTTCTGGTTTTAAGGTTCTATAAAGCATATAACAAAGAATATTGAGGAAAAAGAAATGTGTATATATGATACATACATCTATAGACTTTTTGATAGTCATTGGCTTTAGGGATTAAATTAGGTATTTTTAAATATTTTATTTCTAATTTAAAGAATGAGTCCCACTTCTTAGAAAAATAAGTACTCTGCTAGTTAGTTAAAAACTTTTAATTATGGAAAAATCTCAAAAATACAGAAAAGTAAAAGAATGATAAAATGAGCACTCCAAATACCTACCACATATATTTAATAATGAACCTTTTGCCCATTATACCATTGTGTGTGTGTGTGTGTGTGTGTGTGTGTGTGTGTGTGTATTTTCATCTGCAGAACCATTTCAAAGTAAATTACACACAGCATGATGATTTATTCCTGTGTGTTTCAGCATGGATCTTTAAAACATAAGGATGTTGGAGAGGAAAAAAAAATTCTTACCCATCTTAGGTTCCTTGGTTGGTGCCCTGCAAATTAGACTGACAAAAGACAGATTAACAAGAAAAAAAACCCATACAACTGGAGAATTCAATGATAAGTAACTCAAAGGGGTGGTTAGAACTTGGGCTTATACAGCATCTTAACAAAAGAACTATAAATTTGTAGAGAAGTGACAAGAAAAAGGAAAGGACTTTGAGCTTCTAGGGGTGCTAACTGTGGGAAGGTCGATACATGGGTGAAATTAATGGAAGATAAAGGTTGTTTTTAGCAAGGTTTGTTACCTAGATTCCTCTGGTGCCTCTCTGGGCTGGTCAGAGTCTAGTGATTAAGAATGCCCAGCTCTTCCTGGTAGAGGGGGAGGGCAGAGAGTTTTTCTTGTGTCTGTTTCTTCTCAGTCGCTTTCAGTTCAAAATAATCCTTGTGCCAGAGTG